TGGGATGAGTTCATTAATTGCATTAATTATTGAAAAATGCCAAACAGCATTAACTAAACGTTTAACATATACCGACGAATTACAAGCAGCTGTTATGGAAGTTAGTTATTATTTTTTTTTTAAATTTCATCTGAATGATTCTTGAAAAGCTATATAGATGAAACATAGAGCTGAGCAAGTACAAGTTTTCTTGAATACTAGTACAGACGGTTACTTGTTCAGCTTTGATAAAATAGAAAAATTGATTTTCATTGACTATCATGAAACAAAAAAGCTTGTTAACGCTGTCTTTTTACGACTAAAATGTGGAACTTACATATATTTTCGTATCTTAAACATTATTTTACTATTATTAGTGCACATATGAGTACCTTAACTCCGCACTCTTTTGTGGTTTTCTTTTCTCTTTGATCTTAAATTTTAAGCCAATGTGATTCACTCTACAAACTTCTTATTTTTGTCGGCATAATTGCTATTTATTTCGAAATATAATGTACTCCGTGGTTTTTTGGTTTCAGAAAAAAAACAATAAAACACATCATATTTTTAAGTGGATAGTACGAGTAACATTAGTACTAAAGTAAATGATGTAAACCTATGGTTGCTGTAGAAACTTTCTCAATGACTTTTCGAAAATAGATGTGAGTTTTACAAAACTAAATTCTCGTTTTGAAGAAATGTAAATCAATTGATTTCTATGAAATATTTTTTTTTATACAAAGATGCCACAACCTAAACATATTGTAATGAATGAGTTTCTCTCCGTAAAAACTTTTATTTTTTTGTCAAACTATGAGTAGAATTTTTTCAAAATAAAAAAAAGACTTTTTAATTATAAAATAGGTTAAATCAAATGATAGTCATGGTACAACAATTGATATTATTCTTGTTAATGGATTTTTATCTGTTGGTGATAAAATAATTATTGCCGGTCAAGAAGGTCCAATTGTTACTCAAATTCGAAAAATTCTTATACCTGAATCAAATCAAGAACTACGTGTTACAGTAAATCATCTTGATTAATTAATAAATGCTTATTTTTCTATTTCACTTCCAATTTAGAATCAATATCAAACTAATGAAAAAGTAAAAGGTGCACGTGGTATTAAAATTCTTGCTACAGATTTAGAAAAATCGATGGCTGGTCTACCATTATTTGTTGCTCGACAAACAGACGAAATTGATTATTTTAAAAACGAAATTGAAACAATATTAAAAACAACTCTTAATTCAATTCAATTAAAAGAAAAAGGTGTTTATGTTCAAGCATCAACATTAGGTTCATTAGAAGGTTTTCTTCAACTTTTAAAAACATCGAATATTCCAGTAAAATTTTTCTTACTATACTCAATAAGAAAATATTTTATTTTTCTTTCTAGTATGCTGGAATTAATATTGGACCTGTACATCGAAAAGATGTTATTCGAGCATCAGTTCAACTGGAAAAGGATGTACAGTATGTGAAGAAACTTAATTTAAAAACTTTTGTTTAGTTGTTTTTTTGTCTGAACATATTCTTTTGATTAGATTTGCTACTATTTTGGCGTTTGATGTAAAAATTGAAAAAGATGCTCAAGAATATGCGAATGCTATTGGTATATATAGATCATGATATTTTTCATTTTTTTTTCATTTAAATTTGAATATATGTATTTTTTTTTCTTTATTATTTATTCAGGTGTAAAGATATTTCGACATGATGAAATCTATCGTTTACGTGACATGTTTATATCGTATCAAGAACAAATTAAAAGACATAATCAAGAACAGCATCGACATCTTGCTATATTTCCATGTAAATTAAAGATTTTACCACAATATGTATTTAATAAACGTGATCCAATTGTTTGTGGTGTATTAGTTGAAGATGGATGTATTAAATTAGGTACACCAATATGTGTTCCGTCAAAAGATGTATGTATTAAAATTATTTACTAATTTTAGGTTTTTAATGTAAAATTTAAAATAAATTTAGTGCATCAATCTAGGTAAGGTTGTTAGTATTGAAATGAATCATCAATCATTAGATACAGCACGAAAAGGTTCTGAAGTATGTATTAAAATTGCATCAACAACAAGTGAAACATCAACAATGTATGGTCGACATTTTGATAAAGATGATATTTTAATGAGTAAAGTAAGATAATAGAATTGAATAATTGGATTTCAATCGAAGAACTTGTTTTGTTTGTTTAGATATCTCGGGAATCCATTGATGTTCTTAAAGCTTATTTTCGTGAAGAAATGAAAAGCAAAGATTGGGAATTAATAATTGAATTAAAAAAGATATTTAATATTATTTAAATTAAGTATAAGAGAAAAACTAAATTTCAATTGATTGACTATTTTTTCATGCTGTATTGTTGATTAATTATGCAAATAAATAATCAAGAGTATTAATTCATATTAGAAAAAAACAATCCTTCGTACTGTTTTCTTTTTGGTCTATGACGAAATATATTCGTCACTTTTTTCATTCGCCTATTGTTTTTTTGCAATAGTACCCAATGCGAAAAGTTCAATTCAATTGAACAACTACTCTGTAAGTTTCAGTTGTCGATATGTAATATCTCAATGCTTTCCACATGTTCTTAAAAACTATAAAAATATTACAAACGTTTTAATTACGTTCTACTCTCACCCGAACTTGACTCACTTTACTTCGATCACATCCATAATCTGATATTTGCGTAAAGTTTTCTCAGAAACACTCATGAAGACAATACAGCGACAGAAAAAGCACTAACAGGTGTTAATATCAATACTTCGATTGTCCTGGAATATTTAAAAGTCTTCGTAGAGGCATAAATGATAAGAGTACATTTTCAAAAACTCTTAATCAGGAAAGTCGTCGAGTTAATTAATCATTTTTGAGTCGAAACTATGTACATTATATAGACTCAGACGAACTATGGATGTTCCGAAAAGCGTTCGTATTGTTACCTTTTTGCTACAGAGATACTACTCTTCGGGCGTTTTTCAAGCCAATACCTTGGTTTTCGTAAGATCATCAGGTCAATTCATTATTCAATTTTGACTTGAGACTTCCTATAGCAATCGATCTTACCAACCACAGCTTATGATGATAATTTTAGATATTTTCTCTGTCCCCAGTCTAAAACATAGGAACAAATTAAAAGATCTGAAATTTTCATTCTCGTTTAAAGTTGTTTCTTCACGAAGTTTCAAGTAGAAATTTAAAAATGAGTTTCTCTACTGTTCTTAAAGAGGACAACGGCATTGACTTAAAAAATATCGTGAAAGTGTACTATTTCCGAAGTAAACAGTTAAAGGCACGAACTCTTTTCCGAGTATTCATAGCCAATTTGAGTCTATTTAAATCACATAATCTTGACTTGAAAGCGATTGATTAGTTGAATGACCTCTTTCGTGACTAATGCAATTTTTTATTTTTTCACAGATAAAAATCTATATTCAATATGTCATGGTTGATCGTTAGTGGCATATTGACTTGTCACAATCGTCATATGATCAACATAAAAAACGTGAACTGATCAAGCTATAACTTTGAGAAATAATCAATATCAGTGTTTTCTGAGCTTATCCCGATATCTAGTAGCGTGTTGAGATCTGCTGTAGATATAATTAATATATACCACAGACTTATTTGCAAGTTAAATCAATGATTAGAATAATCATTATGTTAGATTAAGCATAACGAAATAGGAAAATGAAAAATAACGAGCGACTAACAACAAGGCAAATAAAAAAAATTATTTAAAATGCAGAAATAAACAAGATAAATCGTTTTTCTAACGATTGACTATCGTTACAAAACATATATAGTCGTCTAGAGATTTTACACTTCATGTATTTTGTATTAGTATAACGCAGCTAAGGAGCATATATGAGTTGCACAAAGTGAGTGCGCTGACAGGTTTTTTTCATTTATTATTATTAGGTTAAATTAACAGAAGTTTATTTAGTATTAATATATAACTCATATGTGAGCAAAGTTACGTCTATCAAAAATAACCCATTAAAACATGTAGAGTGATAAAAATAACGAAAATAAAACTTTAATTTTTTATATAGAAAGATTAAATTTATAAGATAGTTTTCTCTTCATTATGAAGAATCATTAAAAGTCTAAAATACAAGTTTTAAATCTTATTTCAAATAAAAATTTCTATAGGCTATATCACGATATATTATCTTTGTTTCATTTATTTTTTGAACTTTTTTTCTTAAATTAATGAAGAATACCACTTTTATTAAATACGCACACATATGCACGCAAGTAAAAAGAAATTTTTTTTGAAAACACCGATAAAAATACAATAGGAGGTTACAGATTAAAAAAAAAGAAATATATGCCAAAAAAAAGTGAATGTTTCAAAGATGAGAACATGATGATTATGGAAAAAAAGATGAGACAAATTAAACGAGAAAAAAAAACTCGGACCAAGAATGACTTAAGACAAATAGAAACAAAAACACCGCCATTTTATCATATATTATTTTGTTTCATTAACAAACACATGATTATGAGTCGAATCACTGTTCTTCGAAAAGTTAGTATAAAGAAAAAAAAAAAAATAATAATAATAATAATAATAATAAAGGAATGTGTTGTCTATATGTGTATATATATGTATATATACTTTGTAAAGATATTATTGCATGTATCGAGCGGAAATATAAAACAAATATGCATACAACGACAATTAAGAACAACACCATTGATAGAGGATAAAAAGAAAAAAAAAAAACTATAAATAGTGTCACTAGAAAAACATGAGAGAGCGAAATATAGCAATAAGCTGTTTATTTTGATTTTACATCTTTGACATGCACACGCTGTGGTTTTCTAAGAAGTATATTGCACGCATACAAAAGAATAAAAGAGAAAAAACATCAGATAAGAACTTTGTTTTCTAGGATAAAAGACAGTGAGAGAACCAAGATAATACGACAAAAGAACAGAATATGTATTGATAAAATGACTTTGTAGAAAAAAAAAGTTTTGTTTGTTTTAGTCACGATTTCTTTGATGTAAATGGCCACCATTCAGCTTTTTCTTTTTGTTTTAACATAATTTTATGTGATAAAGTAGCAAATTCTTCAGCACTTTCACTCAATTGCTTTGATGCCATTTCAACTTCACTTAATTTTTGACCACGTTCAATTAATTTCTAAAAACGAAAATATAAAAACAGAACAAACGAGATTTAACTGTTTTGATTTCTTAACAGAATTTACATTTCGTGTTTCATTGACAACACTAGTAGCTGAATCAACATTACCATGCATTCGATTCATATTAGCATTAACATCTTCTTTTTTAACAATACCAAATGATGCTGTACCAGCGGCTTCACCAACTTAAATGAAAAAAACTGATTCGTGTTTTTTTGTTGAAAAACAAAAAGAAAAACAACAATCATACATAATTCTTCTGAATCGATAAATGAATTTGAAGCAAAAATTTTAGCAAAAAAGTTTTGTTTTGGTGCTTCAGGCATTGCTACTGATGGATCATACAATTCGCAAATCATTTCGTTGACTTGTTCTCTAAAAAACCAAGTACATGTATATTGATTCATACAGTTATATAAAATCTTGCCAAGAATAAAAAACTAATAGCCTTCTATGACCGGCTACTTTTTCTCATATTCAAAGAAGCGTTATTATCTACCAAAGTGCTGGAAAACTTTTACTACTATCCATCTCATAAAATAATATACTCCCATGTTTTTTTCTCTAAAATTTGAATGAAACATCAAAGTGATTTGCGGTTTTCTCTATGCAAGAGAGAAGACTTGGGGGTATCTATAATATATTGAAAGTTGATTGGTAACCAATTGATCGATCAAGTAAGTTCTTGGTGGAGATTTTCCTCTCGATTGAGACTTTAAGTACGACTAATCAATATAAAAGTTCTTCTTTTTAGGCCTGTACAAAACTAACATTTCCAGCTGATTCCATTCGAAAGTTATAAGACTTTTTCTGATAACTCCAGTGTCAGTCAATTGATCATTGATCACTCAAGACAGTGAGTAGGCAGATATATTTCACTATGTTGACTTGAATGATGATATTTGTTTTTAGATTTGCACTGATCTGACACTTTTATTTCAACGTTTCCGAAATGTCGACTGCTTCGTTACATAGAGGCTGATTTGGTGATTTTAAAAGTATCCAGATAACAGAGTCAGATTATTTCCATCCTAAAAAGAATATCATCATTCGCCTCAACATGGTGAATTACCCATGTCAAGCTACTTTTCTGAGCAATTACAAGTCATCTGGTTGAAATTGGGGTTGCCAGGAAAAGTCTTATAACTCTCGAACGGAACGAGTTGACAATGTCAGTCTTGTATAAATCCAAAGGAAAATAGCATTAGAATATTGTTTTTGAAAATCTCCACCAAGAACTCATTTGATTGATTAATTTCTGGCCAATCATATTTCGATATATTTCAAGAGATTTAGAATATAGTGGACGGACTACATTATATTTTGCAGCAAATATTAGAAAAAAAAGTAATTTTAATTAGAATAAAAAGATGTTCTTACTCAAAGATCAGGTTTTCAGATGTTAAAACTCTTTCAAAATTAGCTGGATTTTTTTCAAAAACGATTTTGAAAATCCATGACCTACCCTTACACCCTTTGAAATTTTTCTTGCCAGTATCTTTCTATTCTGGGGAGAAACGACGAGAAGTTATTCGAACTTACTTAACATCTGAAGCAATACTGAGTTTTTGAATTTCTGTTGGTGAACACATAAAAAATGCATGACCTCGATCAGTAAATGTACATGTTGTTGCAACCAAGGACCTATATTTTATCAATCAAATATTAAAAAAAAAAACATTTTCTTCTTCGTATTTCTTACCTGAATGAATCAGTAACTATATCAAGATTTGTAACAAATAATTCACGTAAACTAGGTAAACTATACACATGTATACGACCACCAGATAAATAACATGTTAAACAAGAAGAACCTAGTTTTTATTATAAATAAAAATTTATTTTATAAATGAATTTATTTAATGTAACCTGCTATTTTAACAACAGTTGCTCGGAATACATTTGATGCGGATGCACTATGTGAATCATAAATTTTTTGCTTTGATACACAAGTTTGTGATGGTAATGCAACAACCTGAAAATAATGATTAATAATTGAAATTTCTACATAAATTTGTCATATTAAATATACTCGAGCTTGTTTTGATGAACAAAAAACAGCATATTGTATATTATTATTTGACGGAGTGCTTGTAACTGGGGAAGACATTAAATTACTAGTTGGTAATATTGATGATGCATTTAAATCTTGTGCACTATCTGTTGGTCGATTAGTTTTTATTTCTATACATTAAAGAAAATCAAAATAATGTGAATAGTAACTATTTATAAAGAAAAAACATTTACTTTTTGTATCCCATTTTTCACTTGGAGGTGGTATTATAACTCCCTTATGATCAAGAAATGAAATATGTAATAAACGACCATTCAAACGAAATACACTTCCACTGGGTACAACTAAAAATTCAGAATAGAAATTATTTTTAATGAATTGTTAAATAAAACATACCACTTATATTTCGAGGCTCATAAATTATATTTAAATTAATAACAAGTACACAACCTGTACTTGTACCAAGCCAAACACTTGGTGAAAGAGTAAAATCTATAACAAGACAAGGTCAACAAAGTTAGTTCGTATTTTCTTTCTCTGATAATACAAAACCATTTTTATAAGTGAATGATTCGGAAAATTGTATAGCACATATACTTTCATTTAAAATAATCTTATCCAGACTTGAAACACTTGCTGAACGTGGAAGATCAATAGCCGTTGATTTATCTATATAGACAATAAATAAAATTCAATTACAGAGCAAATAAACTCTAAATTTATATAAGTTAAACTTTAACTAAACCAGCATGCATAAGAATTAAAAGCAAAGCAAACATAGAAATGCATATTAGCGAATCAACAACAGTTATTTTTAAAAAAATATGTGTTTTTTTTTTGTCTCTTTCTTCTCTATAAAATTATTAAGCAACATAACGGAAACATGTAGACGAATTTACAATAAGATCCAAGAATTGTGAATTAGTAAAATATTTTCTTTTCTTTTTATTTGGAACCAATGAAAAACTTACAAACAGTGGAATTGATATCAGACGGAGCCTGAGATCTTTTTTCTGCTAGCATCGAAGCAGTAGAAGGAGACGAAGATTGCTAGAAGAATATAGTGAAGAGAAAGAAATAAAGATGCTAATAGAACAAATTAAACTAAATAGTCTTGAGCAATGTTAGTTGATATTTATACTATTAATCAATAAGAACAAAATTTCAAAGTCAAAGTGATGAAGAAGAATCTCAATTTTAAATATAGATCATCCTTCTTCATGAAGCAATCTATTATAAAATTGCGTGCAGAACAAATAGATTTAAAAAAAAATAAGAAACTAAAATAGCGTAGACAGCATGCCCGTTCTTAATCGTATGTGAATTAAGTAGATTAAGAGAGAGCGCATCCTTATTATTAAATAGTGTTAATGTGTAGCTGTGATAGCTTGTGAAAGATTTTGATATTGAATGTTTACTTGAATGTGTTATTGGGGTTGATTGTTGATGATGATAAACATCATCTTTACGCAAATCGATCATATGTGCTTTTCGTTTATGAGACTTATCTCGCATATGTTCAGTGTATTCAAGTGAACATGTACCATGTAATTGAGCACGTGTAAATGTTGATGGTGCCCAAGTTTTTGATAGATTTGTATTTTCTTTACTAGCTTTACTATCATCATCAGTCTCACGGGACTCAATTGTAGTTAATGGTGGTGGTGTTATTATTGAGGATGTTTTTTCTAATGGATATGATCGATGTACTTTCAATGCTGTTGCTGGTGCAGGAGTAATTGGTGCTACATTTGGATTTGGTGTTGGTATGTCTGTAAATGATGATGGACTTAATTCTTCACCGGCACTACTTGATCCACTATCATCACCACCACCTTTTACAGTATTATCTTTTTCATTGTGATATGAACTTTTACGATTAGTGACAGTTTCCTGTTTATTATGATGTGCTGGACGTGATAAACGTTTACGAAGTGTATGGATTGTTTTTGATAATGTTGTTATACTTAGTGGTTTTTCTTCATGAGGACCTGAAACACTAGTTCTTCCGCCAGTTAAATGTGATCCTGTTATTTTATCATCACCATGTATTGACTCGGTTGATCGTGAACGAACTAATGATTTTTGTAAGTTTTCACTGGGCGTATCTTGAGTCGGAGTTTGAATTGATGCTTTTGCACGAAGTTTATTTGACATCGGTCCAGTAGTAGAAAATATAAAAGGGTTTTTTGATAATCTTGGTTCAGCTGTCGCTGGATGACTTAGTAGTGATCGCTAGATAGAAATAGGGTTTTTTTTTTTCGTTTTTTTTTAATTTCAACAAAAAGCCTAAATAAATAAATGAATAAAAAAGAATGTTTACTTGATGATCTGAAGACATTGGCTCATCATTATTGATATCATTTGAAGTACCATGACGTTTTGGAGACATTATTGTTCGTTGAAATGGATCCATTGTACCATAAAGGTCAGCAGTAGCCATATTCATTAAAATAGATTTACTTAAATAATCAATAACAACAAGACCATTCTCTAATCCAAGTATTAACCTATTGAAAAAAAACAACAACAAAATATGAAAAATGAAGTAGCATTTTTCTATACAATCCAAATTTTGAATTAATTGAAATATCACTTAAAACAGGTATTTTATCACTTGGTAACCATGATAAAAGACAAACAAGCTCAGGTTGATAACCAGCCATTCGACGAGAACCCATTTTTGCTCGAAGTAAACTTTTAAAGTCCTAGAAAAAAAATACATATCTTTATTTCTAGATAAAACAATTTAAGAGGAGTATTGAAGTCTAGAGCTAAAGATTTGGAGCTTATAGACTATGACAAACACTTCTTACAAGGATAGTTATATGACTCTCCAATAGAGCTCATCAAATCCGAAATTTCGGCCCCGATTGAACCGTTCTTTGATGCTTTCAATGAAATTTTTTATTTGCAATAGGATAGACTCAGACGATTGGAGGTACTTTTCTTCAGTATTTTGTATTTAATGACTAGTGGACTCTACACATTTCTCAGACGAGTCATCTGAGGTATGTGTAGAGTATAGCTCATCGGTTCCAGATCCAGGACTAACTCAATGGACTCTACTCAAGAATCGAACTAATATTGTACCTGAGTAGGTACTGACGAGACTTGTAGAAACCTATAAGTGTTCGTCTTCATGCTGTTTTCTTCCCAAACGATGTAAAGCTCGTGCTAACAACCGTTTTCTATGAAAAAGACTAAAGACTCAAAATTTACTTTTTTTTCTGTATTTGGTTTTAATAACGGTGATTGTAAATCAGTTGTCGATGATAAATTTCCACTTGTATTTGAATCGTTATGATCATTTGATGAATTTCCATGTAAAATTGGAATTTCTATCCATGATAAATCTCCTAAACCTTCGTCAGCTTTATCTAACTCAGAACCAGTAAATTTAAATAATGTAACGTGACCACCAAGTGCAGCAGCTATTAAATATTTTCCATCACAACAAACTTTTATTGAATATATTGCAAATGGATATTCATAACCATTTAATTCATCTGATAAATACATTGTATTTATTTGTTGTTGAATTGATTCATCACCTATACTGTTATTTGCCCGTGGTAGTCTTGTATCGAATTTAATATTTGCATTGAGATCTTTTTTATTTGATGACGAAGATGAGGGATTTGTTAATGATGTACGAATAAATAAACGATTTGTACATAATTTATATAGAAATGAAAGATTACAACCAGATGCATCCCAAAATTTAATTGAACCATCTGCATGACTATAAATTAAAAAAAAAGGCAAATAAATTTAAAATGATGAACATGAAGAAAACGTATTGTTTACCCAGTTATAATAAGTTCGTTGTATCCAAATATAGTCGAACCAGATTTACCACCTGATACTGGATTTTCCTTCAAAGAAAATAAATTGATTAGAAGTTTTTAGAGAGGTAAAATATGAGAGAACGTTTCAACTCGTCACGTGACGAGTTGAACAAAAAGCAAAAATCAGACCTTTCGTAACACCAAAAATAGGGATATCCAAAAATACAGGGATTTCGTAACGAAATTTACAGGGCGATCGTAACGATTAATACAGGGAGTTCGTAACAGTTGCAGAGCTTTCGCAACGAAGCAACAGGGATTTCGTAATGAGGATGAGGGTGATAGCTGAACTTAGTTTGCAGAAATTACATGCTTTTCGTTACGAAAGCTCTGTAATGACACATATTAAAACACCAATTACGATCACCCTGTAAAATTTGTTACGAAACCCCTGATTTTTTGTTACGAAAGTCCTGATTCTGTCGGTACGAAAGCTCTGTCACAGGCTTTCGTACTGTCAATTCGTTACGAAAGCCAGACAAGAAAAAACGTGACGAGCTGAAACATTCCCAAATATGAAATAGAATAGAATGATCGTTGGTTTTCTTTTCGTATATCAAAAGTATTCAACGACTTGAAATTCTGTATTACATCGTAATACACCACGAAATTTTTAGGAGATCCGTATTAACAAAAGATAGGAAAATTTATGAAAGTTTATGGCCTCTCTAAGCTGTTATAAACAAAGTTCCTAATATCCTTTTTGTAGCATGATAGATGATCCAGACTTGATCGTTTGAAATCAAATCAACGAGAATTCCGATCGAATTATTGGAGAATTTCTAAACCATATCAGAAGATAACTCAATTAGAAGTCGTCATAATTAGATTTTACATAATCAAGTTAATATGTCTTTCTAATAAAAAAATATTATGATTGTAGTTAAAAAAAACTTCCAAAGTATAGGTCACTTCTGACTTCATAAAAGAACAATGATAGCTTGTACTAGTTTAAACTATGCATCTAAAATCTGAACGACATAATGTAACTTATAGTGCAAAAATCTTGGCACAATAGTTTCGTTCCTTTTTCTTTTGGACTCTAAAAGAAAATTTGTTAGAGCCAATATCAGAATTTTTTCGTCATTTGTGAATATATGTTTACATTTTTCTTCTGAAGTAAGATTGAACAATTATTAGTAAATATTGTAAAAAGTCTAAAAGCTGTGTTTGTACAAAAGCAAACAGCAGGTCTGATGTAGTTTTTAGTTTGTATCTTAGAATAGTTTTAACTAATATTATTATAGAGTACTGAATTTAATACAAAATTAGATATTATAATAAATGAAATTTCATCTATACGTTTGCATTAATGAACTAATAGCTTTTTCAAAATATAATCGGCTTCAATGTTTTTAGAACAAGTTTTGAATACAACTTGTTCAAAAAATAGCAGAGCAGATTATATGCTGAAATGGATAGTAGTTTATATGGACATTGGCATTGGTCAAAACATTGCTGTTTCAAAAACTGCTTTTAGAAATGTAAACGTAAAGAGGACGTATTGTATAGTGAGCTGAGTCATTAAAAACTATTCCACATTTTGAATATAATAGATTTCAATCGAAATATAAAATTAACTAAAATGAAACATAGTCGAAAGGTTTCGATTTCTCTCAGTAAATCGATGATTTCTATGACAAATCTATATATGGTTAATTGATCGAAATTTGTAATTTTTTGTAGGGAAAGAGTAAAACTCACATCTAAAAGAAAATATTTGTAAATTTTTTTAAAATAGTTGTATGTATTTTGCTCACAGAAATTTTTTATTAGTTTTATCATTGTAATGAAATAATATTCATCATATTTTCTGATGATTATTATAGTTGTATAACACTTCAAATTGACAGTCGTATTTTATGAAGCTTACTGTTTCTAATTTATTTTCTAATATGCTAGTCGCTTAGATTTATCTTTTCAACAGTTTTATTAAAATATTTTCAGTATTGATTTCATAACCAAATAGAGAATATACGACCAATAGAAAATTTATCATGTATTATTCGATAAGATTTAAGCAAATATAAAGATGTCAAACAAAAGAATTATTAACATAGGTTTAGTGTAGAAAAGTGTGTGAAAATGATTAACAATATTTGAAAAAGGTTAAAAGCAATCGTCCGAAAACAAGGTCAATGCATTTCAAAATTTGATTACTGATATTTATACAAAATGTCAATTCGATAAACTTATAAATCATATAGATATCGTATTGAAAAATTTTAATTTTTCTCAAAAACTATGCATTTAATATCAGTAAAATGATCATAGAATTGTACTGTATGTATGCATTTCTAAGTATCTTTTTTTTCAGATGATAGCTCTAATCTTCCTCTACAAAACTACATATTTCGATCTATGAATCATGCATATGTTGATCAACTACTATGCTGGACTTTTTAAAACAATCTGATGATAGCTGTTCAATCTTAGCTCCAAAGAAAATTTTGAATACCTATTAGAAAAAACAGCAGAAAATTCAGATTGACTAATTCTAACCAGCTGCCTTTAAGGTAGTCCCCCTCTCCTATCCTAGTTGTTTGAAGAACGGTTTATCAATACTGATTAAAACTTTTAGGGTACATAGATCTCGATGAATAGAGCAAAAGTTGTCATAGACTACCAATTTCCTGTTAGGAAATATCTAGATAGCAAAGACTAAAAAACCACTCCACTTTTTCAGTCATAATATGTCGAACAGAGCTGAAAATTTTTTTTGCAGATATGAGACACTGTTTGGGATATCCACTGTTTTTTAATCTATATCTATTCAAATAAAAAGACCAAAATATTGAGTGTATCTTGCGAAAATATGTGTTTTTTTGTAAAATCTGCCAAAAATCAACAGTGCAATATTTGCTAAACAAAAACAAGTAGGTACTCTAAAAAGTAACCAATGTCTTGAGAAAGCAGTTTCGAGAAAACCAAAAAACAAACTTTCCTGTATGTATTAGGATTTTTTTCCAAGTGGTTGAAAACTAGCAGTGTTACAAGTCCGTGACCTTATACTGTCAGCACTTTGAGAGATTATCATTAGGAGATTTGCGTATACAAATAATAATTGTAGCGTGAAATTTTTGCTAGGCATTTCCGGAGTTGAACTTAATAAAATTACTAGGTAACAACATATATTCTTCATTTATATACTATTTGACAAAGAATACTTCGAACCTATATTAGCGATGTAAAACTAAAAATTGAAAAATTTTGATTTAAACATCTGGAAACGTGAGATTTGCTTCTGTAGCCAAGAAAATGAGTTAATATTATGTAGTAAAACTTTCGCGTCATAGATTATATTATATTTCAAACAAACCTGTTGACTGTAAGGACGTTTTGGTGTTTGTTTGGTTTGTAATCGAAGCAGATTTTGATAAAGAATCGTATTTGGGTCTGTCATATAATCACAATAAGTCACAGGTGGTTCGTGAAGATCTAATGTATGAAGACTTTCAAAAATAGGATAACTAGAAAAAAAAACAGATATTTATTTAATTTGATTTCGTAGTAAAATCTTTACTTTTCACTTTTAAGATCAACTATAACAAGATTATTTTCAAGTAAAACAATAATAGCTGATGGATCAGGTGCATCTAAAAAATAAAATATTATAAAAATAAATAAATAAGTATTTAAGAAACAAGACTAACCAGTAATATGTGGAGATGCTGTTATAACATGAAAATCAATAATAGCACTATCCATATTAAGCACATTAATTGTTTGACCACGAAGAATAGTCAAAAAATCAGATGATGGTTTATACAGTGGTACATTAACAGTAGTATTAGTCGATGGAATTTGTTGTGAATCAATTTGAACTGGCATTCCACCAGAAAAAATAATATATGCATCATTTCTATATTAAAAATTCATTTATATTTAATCCTATTATATCTTATTTTAAAAAACATACGAATTTTTAACATAATTCCAAACAACTTTTGATATTTCACCAAATTGATGTGCTTCATCTTTTGAAATACGAACTGTTAAAAAGAAATTACAACAAATTTCTTTTAAATAATGTAAAAAAAAAATAATCTATTTTCTTTTACGATGTGGATAATTAATGTTAACAGGTTTATCAATAGATCGTAAATTCCAAAATGATAATGAACCGTCACAATGTGAACACATAAATTGTCGACCTTCATAATGCCATGAAATAGATGTTAAACCCTAGTGGAGAAATAATTTTGGTTTTATTTTCATCGAAACAAATAATAAGATTACTTGTTGTAATGTATAAACATTTTCAGATGTTTTCTGTTGTAAATTCCAACACACAACATGTCCCATAGGAACATTATTTGGTGAGGATAAATGTGTACTGAAGCCAATATAGAGCTAAGATTTACAAAAAAAACAAGAGCAATTCAAATTTATTCATACTATTGATAATCGAGCACCCGTAGAAACTGTAGGCACCCAGAAAAGCTACAAAATCATATAGAATTCAAAACGACCAGTAAACAAATACACCGACTAGGCTGCAATAACTAAAATATGGCACAATTTAGATGAAAACTCAATTGAATTTGGAATGCACAAAATAATTTTAAAAAAGTTCTCTTCAAATAAATAAGATTTTATAATAGGAATAATAAAACTTCATAAATAATGTGAAATAACTCATTTACATAAGCGATTAGAAAACAAACTCATATTAACCACAACCATAAAAAGATGTTTGGTTTTTTGAATTTTTGTTGTGTGCATTTCAGTTTTCTGAATGCTCTATTGTTGTGATCGTATGAATCATAATGATTAATGTGTATTGCTGTATTCAAATTTTGGGATTTAAGATAATTACTCGATTTAGAACTATTTATTGGATCATTTTCAAAATAGTTATGTATTTCAATTTCTGAATTTTAGTGATTCAATGACATTAACTAAATACAAAATTTTTCTATAAGGAATCACTATGTTTCATATACAATCAATTATACTATTTAGAGAAAAATATAAGTTTCAATGTCATCAGTACTTATAATGATTTTTTATGTTCTCATATTGGAATGATAAGACATCAATACGATATAAGGCGCCGTGACTTTTGAGAACTCGTCTCACCTTGTCCGTACTAGTCATACATTCGATTCACTTGTCTTAAAAAGTAGAAAATAATATTTACATGGAACTCCAGTTTTTAATAGTTAATTATGTATCTAAGAATCCTAAAATGCAAGCTTCTTCTCTTTATAATGGCTTTAAAAAATTCTATTTACTAATTATCGAAAAATTCATGAACCATTTATTGTCCCATGACCTCATTATTAGAAAACAATTACAACAAAAATTAAAAAAAAATAGTTACTCACTGTATCAAAAAGCAAATTCGTCATCCTGCAATTTAATTTAACCAATCATTTAATGTTCTTATTACTCAGAAGATATTATAACTAAATTTATACTCATTAGGGAAAAACAAAAAACAATACTTACTCACTCTATTATTTTTCATGAACAAAGACATAAAGAGTTGCATTAACTTTTTACTTATACCAGATTATTTACAATTAAATATTAAGCTAATGAAGAAATATTTGCAACAGATCAATCGCTTTCTCATTGAAACTTAGATAATTCTAGATTATTGATATGCCAATTTTCTATGCTGCTAAATTTTTTGCTAAATCTTATAGTAGAGCATATCGCATTGTCAAATTAACAGTAGCTTTTTCGATTTCAAATCGTTTGTTTTACAAAAAATGCAGTCATTTTATTCATACAACAGATGCATATCAAAATTTTGATGTGAGCATTTTCAAGATAATATTATATTACTTAAAGTTCATTTTTGAAAAATATTTTTTAGTCTAGAAAGACAGCATATAAAGACATGTGGGTATTTCTCACAATCATATTTAAAATCAGTATGATCGATAACTTCATAATTGTTTAGGTTTCGGTAAAAAAACGTGATTGATCAGTTGGAAATATTTCCTCGTTAGCTTAATGTTTAATTGTAAAACATATCTTATAAGTAAAAATCAAGACAATCATGAATGTTTGTGTTTGCAAAAAATGAAACATTGTAGTTGAAAATAAAATGTACATCTCAGAATGCCTGTTTCTTCCTCTACTATTCGTTTTGAATTCTATATGATTTTTTGGCTTTTTTCGGTGTCCGTACTGTTTACAGACATTCTTAACAATCAGTATTCTTACTCGTGCTGGATCATCAGGATTTTGACATAGATCAACAACTACACCTGGATGTGTACTTTTACCCCTGTTAAGAAGAAGAATATTTCTAAATAAAAATAAATTATGTCAAATACATACATGCCAATGGCATTATTCCACATAATTTTATATGATGAAAGTGTAAATGTATCAAGATTGACCACATAAACATTTCCAGCATAAGTACCAACAAAAAGCCATTTGGAATTAAAATTAAGAGGAAGAAGACATCGACTGATTCTATAGAATAAATATAAGTTATGTTGTTAAAACATTAACACATCATGTATACACGTCAAAAAAGTATATTTGATTAAACAATTAGTTAATATCTTATTCCATAGAGAATGATAATGTTGTTTTCTTCTGTCTCATGTTATTTTCAAATCTATTTGAGTGACTCTCATGATTAATTTATTAAATCTAGAATCTTTGTTTGTCTTTTTTAATTTATAGATCAGTATCGAGTAAACAAGAGATTTTCTTAATGTTATTATATGAATAGTTGTATAAAATAAAAAGAAAACAAAGGAAGAGAAAGAAAGCAATTTCCTATTAGTCGACCGGAAGCATGAATTAATGATAAAATGTTCAGAGGGACCAATATCTCATGAGAGATAAGAATGAGAGTTAGTTTAACTCATCATCAACGCAAACAAAAATGCATCATACGACATTAATATGCATAAGGTCATTTTGTTTCTAAAATAGTGCAAAACAGAATGAAAATTAAAAAAAACACTTACTTTTCCTTAACAAATCGAAGTGAATTGGCAATAACAGGTTTCTTTTGACGCAAACTCCACAAATGAATATAATTATCTCGGCATGCACTTATCAATGCACCCTACATATCAAATGTTATTCGTTTGTTTTTGCTTATTGGAAATTTACCTCATTTATACGAAATACCAATTGCACTATTTCAACTTCAGTTGGATGTGATAATGAACATTCGACAAATGCACCACCATAACTTGTTTTTTTTTCAATAAAAAAAATATTATTTGAATAATTTTCTTATAAAAAATAGACTTACATTTTAATAACACCATTTTTTGTTCCAATTGCAAGAAGTTTTTGTACAGAATCATAGGCAAGTGCTGATGGTTGATAAGGAAAACCATAACGTACAATCTAATCATTAATATAATGTGCATATAATTCTTTTTTAAAAAAAAGACGAAGTCTTTTTTTTTACTTCACTCAATGAAAAATCTTCTTTCTTCGATGTTTCATTAATTTCAAATTCATTGTTCTTTTTTGATTCACCTATTTTAAATGGTAATTTTATTCGACCAGTCATTATACTATTGTTTTCTTTTTATTTTGAAATTATTTTCATCTAATAATTTATATGTGTATGTATGTATATACACACATAAGTGTACTAATTAAAGTCGAAGTTACATCTAAAAACGAATAAATAAAAAAATATGTTGATAACGTGCAGCCATGCATATAATAACACAAAATTTGATTCATTCACTTGGGTTTTTTCCTCTTCTTCTTTCATTTTTTCCGATAGAATACTCGTCGTCCTATACGATTCAACGGTCCGTTCGTTCGATGACAAATAAATAATAAACAATAATTAATAATTGACAACTAGTTCTATTTCAAACCAATAGTGAAAAAAATTCTGATAGAGTGCATTAGTTGTCAGTAGCATTAAGAAATATATCCTATGAGATTCAAAGTGAGGATTATGATTATTTAGATTGTATTAAAACTTAAAATGATTGTATCCAAGTTACGCTAAAAAAAAAGAGATAAAATTTATATAGTGAAGTTCGATTGTAAGAGAAGCTTGGTTCCATGATTTTCATAGAATTTACTATTAACATCTTTTTTTTGGGTCAATATCACATCGGCCTATTTTTTTATTTTGTATAAATATTTGTCGACGATGTAGTTCTTATATAACTTAGAGCAACATAGTCATTCCGTAGTCCTCTCTGTTTTTTTTTGTTGTAAAAAATTTAACATTTGGGATCTTTTTTTATCTTTAACATATTAGTAAATACGTCAGATCGATTTATGAGAAAGATAACAAGAAAAATAGAAATATTTCAAATTGAAAAATAAATAATGATAATTTGTTAATAGAAAATTCTCAACTTTTGATTAATAAAAGATAAAAAGAAAATTCTGTTATGAAAAAGAAAAAAAAAGGTCAAAGGAACCATTTTTCTCAGGTAAAAACTTTCTTTAGAAAAAGATCATAAAGATCATGTTTTTATTAATGTAGGTCTAATCTGTATCCTTTTACAACTATTCATGTTTTCTATTCATTATTGTAAAATGATAATATTTTTTTTCCTGGTATTTTGAAAGAAAAAACTTCTTGTGTAATATGAATAACTTTGCAACCTGTATTCTTCTCCATAGCAAAAATAGAAATAAAACCAGAGATAAGGTTTTTGCTTTGTTTTTCAAGAAATTCTATTCTATTCTATGAAACTAGAACACATTAAAAGGCAAAAAAAAGGGTACTTTGAACTCTTTGATCATCTATGAATGCATATGATAGTCTTTGTAATAATGTTGGAATTCAAACTTTTATTAACAAATGTAAAAATAAATTATATAAATTGATACAAAAAAAAAATCGATTTTAACTTGAAACATTCTTTGTTTTTCTAAAAGCGATCTACCGGTTTAATATTTCGTTTCGGTCGTGTTGATATTTCTTTATTTGGTTCAATTGGTAATAATTTTTTTTGACGTAATTTGCCACGTTTAATAGTTATTTTTATTGATTGACATTGATTATTTTCATCCATTGTTTTAAATAATTTTTCTGTAAGAATATCTTGACTACTAATCGAACGTTTTAATGATGACGCAGATGATTTAATACTATTTCTTGGACTAGTTGATAAACGAAGTTCATTAGAAAATGCAGCCTTACAAAGCATAAACCAAATGTAATAAATGTATGAAGAACACAAAAATAAGAAAAATACCTACAGCTTGAGCCCAACCAGATAATGGTTGCCACAGTTGTTCAAAAAACGATGATATATCATCGTATTTAGCTGTAGTTAACTGTTGTTTTTTTATATTTTCATTATGTTGTCCATAATAGGTCATAGCAATTGAATGAATATGTGTATCAACCGGTACGACATCTTGTTTACCAAGTGACATCAAAAGAATACAATCAGCAACCTAAATATTATTTGAAATAAAATTTCTTTTTAATTGAAATTTTTTACTTTTCGGCCAACACCCATCATTTTTAATAATTGATTACGAGCGTCTTTAACTGATAATGTTTTTAATCGATCGAAAAATAAAGTACCACCAGCAGTATATTTAAGAAATTTAATTGCTTCTTGAAGGTATCGTGCACGATAACCGAAATTTAATTCACGTAAACGTTTTTCAAGATCTGGTATATCAAGTTCATCTAGATAAATAGAGAATAATTATATTGAAATTTTCTTCTTAATAGTAATAAAATTTCTAAGTGCAAATGTCAAATGTATTTCTTAACAATAGAACCTTAATTTAAGTTTTACTTGAAAAGTTATATGAAGGAAGATCTCTAAATGTAACTCACCAATCAAACTGATATTTTCCACATAAGTAGGTCCCGACAACACTAGTAAAAACTTACAAGGCTTTGTTTTCATGACCTACTCTTTTCAAGTTAAAACAGTTATATTGATTTTTCTACGTTTGGCAAAGTGTATATGCAAAAAAAAATCGATTTATCAACTGCTAGTCTAAAAATTTCAACTAAAAATATACGTTGTTCTTAAGATATCGAATACTGAAAACACAGAGTTTTCATACCTATTCTGGTAACATATAATTGTCTTTGAATATTCAATTAAATTTCAGATTGGAATTCCATAATTCAATTTTTTCACCAGTACTCTACCAGAAATAAAAATTTTCAGTAAAACTATAATAACTAGGGACGGACAGTATATGACGACGAACTTTTATAGGCTTCTCCGAGTTTCATCAAGACCTACTTACAAACAAAATAGTTGTTCTATCAAATAAAATGTTCTTCGAAAAGCTTAGAATTGAAGCCAGAAAGCTAGTTTTGCAAGTCTTGATTTTCCCGAGACCTTCATTCGAGCAATTTTGTTGACATATTTAGACTTAATAATTCTGATTAACAATTTTTTCAGCTATACAAATGATTTTTCACAGTCTTGCTAATTATTATCATTGAGAAGAAAACTAAAAAATACAATTATTCTAAACTTACGTCCGCTGCTGAATATATAGTATCTGATAGACTGTAAAAACACTATTTGTGTGAATGCTCTGTATTACTATCTGGGCTTTTATTATCTCAAATAGAACTAGAATGAAGATAATTCGATATTTTATGAATGAAATCGAAGTTTTGATATTTGTACAAAGGCTATTCAAATAAAATTCTTATTAAAATTATCTCTAACAAAATTCATTGCAATTCAATCTAGAATTCTTTACACACGCTATTGAACTATATTCGAAATATAAAAGATTTTCAAATCTATTTCGTTTTCTAAGATTTAATTCGAGTTAGTTCTATCCAAATGAGAAATTCTTTTTTAAATATTTTCATGAAAGAAATATCAAAATTTATGTTTTAAACTTTTATTAGAAAATATACCGAGAGTTGGAAATTTATGATAAGTAATTCCATTTAATGTTCCAATTTTCTTTCCATATTCATCACATAGTACTTTAATCATTTTTGATATGCGTTGTACATTATTATTACTTGAACATATAAATGATATTACATTTTCAAGTGGTTCTTGTGCTAAAACACGAATACCAATTGGTATTTGTCCTTTTTCAAATCTAACATCAGATTTACACCATTTTTCAAATAATTCACAAATTTTTATTGTTAATTGAAAATAATTATGTAAAATAAGAGCAGTTTCAACACGACGATCATTATCATTTGATAATTTTATCATACTATCATTATTTGTAAAAAATGTATAACGAAGATTATCATTTTGATGTTGTAAATGAATAATATATGAACCAAGAACACCAACGAATTCATTTGGACTTTGTTCAATCCATCTATTAAATAAAAATAAATGTCAAAATTATTTTAATAAATACAAAAAATTACCGAAATGATTGTCCACCTAGTAAAGTTTGTTTTAAATTTAGTTCTTTAGCAATAATTGGTATTGATCCAGTTGAATAGATTATAAGATTATCGGATAGTGCTGATGTTGATGGTAAAGATCTTACTAAACTCATTGAATCAGGTTAAAAATCTGAAATCCAATAAAATATTCTTTCAATTCATTGTATATACGTTGTCTTTCTTTATTTACGATTAAAATTCGTTTCTATTCGAGGTCGTCTTGTCGAGAAAACTTCGAGGGGCTATCAGTGATGATATATATCTAATTAATAGTCGAACGTTGCGAATCTATCGAATGAAAAATGTTTAGAATTTTCTTTCAATACAATATAAGCCCTCGATTGTGATAGACCGTTGTTTTTTTTTTCCTTCGTTCTCCTTCGTTTATGAATTGGTTGTTGAATCATAAGAAAATAAAACAAATATATCTTTCGAAGTAATCATTTATCAACAAGTAATAATAATTCAAATCTCTATTTTCTTATTCAATTTATTTGTTTTTAGATTAAAATATCCAGTATCAATCATGTCACCCAAAGGCCAAAAAGTATTATTTTTATCTAAATAAAAATGACAGATTTCATATCTTTTTTTGTCTTTAGCGTAAACTTAAAACTAATGAATCATTACCTATTGCAAAAAAACTGTCGCATACTGATGATCATGCTATCATTGAAGCTGCTACGATAACAGCTGCACCAACTGCTAAACAACTTGATCCAAAAGAACGACGACGAAAATTTATGGCTTATAAAAGTTTTCTTAATCGAGGTGGACCAGATGCACCTGGTTCCAAAGATATTCCTCAAGGTGCTGAAGATTGTCTCAAATCACTAACTTTTGTTATTACAGGTACTGAGATTTTTGTTCTATTATTTAAATTATTATTATTTTTATTTTTCTAGGTGTTTTACCATCATTAGAACGAGATGAATGTAAAAAAATTATTGAAAGTTATGGTGGTCGAGTTACAACTGCTGTCAGTGGTAAAACTGATTATCTTGTAGCTGGACGTGATGAAGGAAAAACAAAGACAGAAAAAGCTAAAAAACTTCATATTAAAATTATTTCAGAAGATGACTTACTTGAAATGATTCGAACACGACCAGGAAGTACGAATGTAGATGTTAAATCAACTATAATTAAATCACATAAACCTACTGTTTTGAAACCTATCGATA